TACAGCGTGGCGGTCGCAGCAGCGGCCACGTCCAGAACGGTCGTGCAGTCGGTGATGATGATGATGGTTCAGGTGAAGACCACGAGAGAGGTGGCGGGCAAAGAGACAGACAGACACCCGCGGTCACTCAACAGACAGGACGCAACAAGAAGCAACTATCAGAAGTGTGGTGCGGGAAACAAATCACATGAATTCCAGCAAAGGGATCAATCCGGTAGATGGACCAGAGTTAGGAAGAATTTCATGTTGGTATCTCTTGAAATGGTGGAATTCGAAATGTTGGCAGCAATGTTGCGATCCCACGAAGAGAGAGAGAGAGATGAAATGAGAGGGTGTCAAGAGAGCGGGGGGGGGGGGAGACAAAGGGAGGTCGGGTACGAGGGGGAGTTACGGGTAATGCTCCGACTAGAGCAGAAGAGACAGACGAGATGCTGCCACAGCCAGAGGAGCAGACAGCAAACAGGCCTGAGGGTAAATGGGTTAGTGGGAAAATGTGCGACAGGGCATTGATATACACAGTCACAAATAAAATGTCTTCCCTCACCAGCTACCTTTGTATTTACCACAATGTAATGATTAGTTCACCACTACGCAACCAATCCTCGGCTTGAAGTAAATGTTGTCACTCAACTGTATTTACAGGTCTATTGTAATACCATTTATGCACTTCGCACGACAAAAACGAAAGAATTCAGAATACTGATGCCAAGTAACCTAATAAAATATTTATGTCACTCTGATATTAATAAGAAATTAAACTTGACTACATCCAGATGGCTGCCGCAATCTTGACATCATCCCTGGTTGAATATAAACTAGCCACAGGTCTTTATGTTGCACCAATCATAAATAAGACACGATCACTACAAATGGAATAATTTGATTATTTTTTCGTTATTGTAATGCACTATAAAACTGCAACATGGTTGCTTTTGTTCTGCAGCGGTCAGCAATAAAGGACAGGCAAACCTACCTAGCAGTTTGGGTTAGGGTTACAGTGTGGTTTGAGAATGACAGTAGCAAGAAATCACGCTTGCTGCTTGAATGTAATGGTGGGCAGAACTTCTTTTGTATTGCACAGAAGCACAAACAATTTGAAACTTTCGACACAATTCACCCCTAACGCTAAACAGAAGAAGTGTCTGTCCTGGGTGTTAATAATCAGTGTTATAGTTCTACTTTTAAAACACCACTCTTGCTTGTCTGGTGGAAGGGTCAGATTCTGTATAGCCACAAGTTTTTTCTTCACTTTTCACACTGACGTCGATGTTTTCAATGCAGGTAGTAAATATGAAAGTCGAAGAAAATAGAATTCTGTGAATGGTGAATCACTATGTTGACAGAATTATTACCCCGCACTAAACAAGGAACAGAAAACAGTATTTTTTGTTGAACGTTAGAAAATGTTATTGCACCAATAATTTTACCTTGTACGTCTGTAGCATGTGCGGGAGGTTGAACTGGAAGAAACACTTCCAGTAAAAAAAATTACGAAAGTTAGAAAGAGAAACTTAAAACCTCCGCGCGGTTCGCGAACACTACACACGCGCGGTAATGTTTTAAACGTGAAGAATCTGACCTACACACAGTGAAAAGATGAGTTTTGGCTCCGTGTAACTGAACATGTCGAATGTTCGCGTACTGGTAGGCAAGAGATTCACACACACTTTCAGACATCCAGCCTGCCCGTACGACAGATAGTCAACCATAGGCAGGCTTCTGAACACAGTACCCTGCGAAGCAACGAACTACTGTGGCGCACGCGATCTGGTGAGGAACGGGACAAGCTCGCATCATCACATACAACAAGCAACACACACCCGAAGCTCCATCCATCGCTGTCTCTTTCTAACATGCAGCCGTCCCTCTGCCACTGTTTGATTGTGTACAGGATAACAAACAGAGATGATAAAGAACACTCACGCAAAAGTTCTCAGTAAGACAGATCAACGGTTGTCGGGAATCGAACCGCTTTGCCCCCTGATGGTGTATGCTATTTTGAATCTTGCCTGCGAGCTTCAAGATTCGGTTAGATTATTCTATTACTTCGTCATGACCGAACGTTGTGGCAGTTTAGTTATTACTCCAGATTCGTGTTTAAAAGTCCAGTGTTCAAATCACGGCACGTAGACCGGCTAATCTGAGATGTTACTTTATGTGGTTTTCCTCAGTCCCACCAGACAAATACCAGTTAGTACCTTAAATTAGGCAACGAGTACTTCCTTCGATATCCTTTCCCGTCCATTATTCATGTATTATCTTATCATTCCAGGACACACAGCGTCATTAAATAAACCACAAAAAAGTGAATTTCACTGACTGATGACAAGAATAATCTGCTGTTGTTTAACTTTTATACCGAGCAGAATTACGAATGGTTACTGGAAGGGAATGCAGGTTACCCGTGGCGCGTTCTTTTTAAACGCACAACATACAGTTTTACTGCAGTCTCATCTAAGGATAAAGAAATAGCGGTGAACTTCAGGTAAATAAGTAGGTAACGGTGGTAAGACTGCTAACAGACTTAATACGTCGAGATTTTTCGGAAGGCTGCATAATTGTAGTAGAGAAAGACAGTTTATTTTAGCATCAAGGAACGTAAGTGATTTCCCATGCTTGATGGCATCAACTTAATTAAAAATAATATCAATGTTATCATGCTCCGATGAGAAGTTCAAAAGTTAAGCGGTTGCAAGATTATATTTAGCTATCAATACGAATCTGCAACACTATCAGGATTATGTATCATTTAATCATGAATTAGCCCCCCGAGTTCTTGATCGTTACATTGTTTGGATTATAACTGCAAATTGTTCATATTTATCATAATTATTGTAATAACTGTTAATTTTCTGTCCCACGTTCAGATCCCAATTATTTAGTTCAGTAATGGTTTTCAACAAAGATACTCTTTATTAGACTCAGAAACGTCAATAACAAATATCAGTTTGGAGGCAGAATAAAAAGAATATTAAACAAACCACTGTGTCGTTTAAAAAATTACAACACAAAATTCACGCCATAAAACAGTAAAGCTCTCCCGCTACACGCCTTGTAGGAGTTTGTGGGGGGGGGGGGGGGGTACGGCTCCTACTTATTCTTAACTTGGCAATACTTAGTCACCGTCACGCCCCGGGGGGTGCTTTGCCCCGGTACCCATTGGACAGGATTGAGACTCAGAGCCGGTCTCGACACAGACGCTACAGGCAAAGTGCTCTGCCCCTGTCGGAGATCGAATCCTGGTAGTCCAGTGCGTAGTCAGTCGCTGTATTGAATGCACACCTTAGGATTATTAAATTCATTAGTGTTCTATCAAAGCAGACCTATTGCTTCACTTGGTATAATGAAAGAGACGTTAAACATTAGACAGATAAAAACACCACGCGAAAATCCATACATAAAATCCCTCAAACCGATGTCTAATTTATTCGTGTACTAACGACTCCACCAAATG